AACACACTAGATAACATATTTTGATCTCCTGAATTCAGTCATCCAAAATATTTCCATCTGAACTAAAAGTTCATTGTCTGTTACCACCTGAAATATCAGTAGGATCTCTGCTCAGCATAAAAATCTGTAAATGTTCGGAAACAATAAGGAAATATATATTTATCTGTATCTGCACGTTCATCAGCATCATCTGGTAGTTCTGTATTACTGAGCTTTTCGAAGCTCACTCTATTACTCACATTTTCAGGTTAAAAGAATTGTACTAGTGCAGCTTTCGACATCAGTAAGGGAGTTCTTCCGGCGTTGTTGTAGAGTATGGTACATGTGATTAGAGGGCATGTAATTGTATTTTGATTTATATACGAGTATGGAAGTCTGTTTTATTTTTAAATAGTGACAACTGATTTTATAAGTTACACGTTTCAATAAAAGTTTTAAATTTTCTGCTATTTTTACAGTGGGTCGCTCCGGTGGCCCAAATATGAAACCTCGGATCGGATCTGGTTACCCTTATCGGTCTGTGGGGGTTACATTTAGTGGTATCAGAGCTATGGTTTGAGTCAAAAATTTTCAAGATAGACCGGCCAGTCGAATTTCAAAAGATGCTTGATCAGTACATGCCCCTAGACTACAATCGTACTTCTCTGAGCCGGAACTCTAAGATTGAGTCTCTATCTGTAACGAGCGAACCGAAATTTCTATCCGTTAAGGCTATACTTGTACAAAAAAGAATACCAGTAACATCTGTCTAAACGCTGTAACTATTTCTTGAGCCATGTGAGAGTTATTCATCTGAGAAATTCTGACTCGACTCCATAAATGAAATTGGGATATGCTGCTGCTCTATGAGCCTATGAGCCTATTCACATAACCAAGGATGAATTGATTTCACAAGGATAAAGTTGTTTTGATTATTTACTTGGACTGAGAGAGAATTCTGATGAGAATGTATACTTAGCTGGTTAAGGATTAGTGGAGAATCCGTACTTTTGTAAAAGCTACTTAAAGATATGAGAGAACTGATGAAAGTTTTATTTCTGCAATTATGCGACATGAATGAATTTCGAGAACGAAATTCTTTTTAAGGAGGAGAGAATTATAACACCCCAATTTAGGGGCTAAATTTAAGAAATTATAAAGTGGTGAATTTAATTAGAATTTTGGAAGAAATTGAGGATTAAATTGAATAATTTCAAAGTTGGTAGACCGTTTTAAGAAGTGAAGAAAGTTTAGTGGCTAAACCCATGATTTAACCATTTTTTATATATGTTGAATTATAAATCTCTCCCCCGTCAGTTTCCAGAATGATTTTTCCAGTTTTTCATTCTCCAACAACCCTTCTTTCAACTCCGATTTACTCACCGTCCGACGTCCGATCGACGAGCCGAAACCACCATCGTGTTCATTGTCAACCAAGAAACAAAACCCCTCAAACCTTTCGTCGTGAATCGTCACCGTTCGTCGTTAATTTCAGTCGGAAGTATTGTCGGTCATAACTCGATTTTAGTTGGTTTTTCATCGATTCACGACGATCGGGTCATCCGTTTACGACACCTCCCACACCATCGTGTTCGTTGCATCGTTCCGAGTTCGCCAGTGTCATCCTTGGTCTCCGTCGACGGCGGCGCGTGAAGAGGTGAAGCGGTCAAAGTTTTCGATTTGTTTAAATCGAGCTCTCCGTCGTTCAAAATTGTGAGCCGAGCTTTGTAAGTATCTTGAAATCGCTCAAAATAATTTTTAAGAATTTTTCCGTGATTTTTAGGTAGCCGGAAGGGGCCCCACGCGTCGCCACTTCGCGTGGGGATTGTCCAAATGACCGGTTTGACCGGTTTTGGTGCATAGTTGACCGGTCATAACCCGACCCGGCCCGACTCGTTTACCCGACCTACTGACCCGACCCGACCCGTTGACCTGTTGACTGTTGACCATTGACCGGCGTTGACCACCGTTGACCAAAACTTTGACTGGCTTTGATCGGGTATTAAACGACCTTTGACTTCGACCGAGTATACCTATCCTGACATTTTTCGACGTTCCAAATCCGATTCCGCTATTCGTTTTTCGAAATTCGAACCCGAACGCCTCGAAATTTCCGGTCAAACCCGTTGACTTTGATTTTGACCAAAAATTTCAAATTTTTGAAAAGTCATATTTTATACTTTCGACGTCCTGAATCCGAATCCGAAGTCTGTTTCGCCAAATTCGAACCCGGTAAGCTGTCTTTCACTGATTTATCTCCTGATTCGATCCGTTTATCGCAATTAAGCACCATTTCTGATATAATTTATGTTGATATGTATATGAGGAATTATTGGAAGTTGAATTGAAGATCAAAGACGTTCGAATGAAATTTTTATGGTCGATCAGTATTGCATGGAAATCGAGGTAATACTTTACTACCTCTTTATGCTTTTTGGAACATGTGAATATTGGTAAATGCATGATTAAGATAATGTTGGTCTCATTTGTGTAGTTAATTAGTTTCTACACTCGATATGAATGTGGTAGAAATTCGGTATCTGAATACGGATCAAATGATTAATATAAGAGATTGAAAGATTGTTAGAATTAAATTACAAGTTTGTGATTAGTAATAAAGAAATCAGACATGGATTTGTAAATTATATTATTTTTGTTAAGAGATAATATTGAAATTATCTGGTTAAGAAAATATGAAAATGCCCTTAAGAGGTAAAATAATCAGAGTTAACCCTGAATGAGAAAATACTTAGAAGATTCGTACTTAACTCGATTAAGTATGGATTTGATTGTTAAAATCATGACTTAGTGCAAGAAAATTCCCGATGTTCCGTTTGTAAAATCTGAGAAGGCACTTGACTCGGAAATATCCGAGTTATGAGTAAATACCTGAAGAACAATTTGCCGGGGGTGTTCTGTTGTCAGAATTGTTCGAAAGGACTGAAATAAATGATAAGATTGAATTTAATAGTAAGATCAGATGGAAGAAAATGATTAAAGTACACTGAATCTGTACAATGACCAAAATACCTCTGTAATATAAATGACCCAAGAATATCACCAAGCTCAGGAATGATTGGATATCATCGAGCTCTGAAATAAATGGAATAAAACTGAACACCAAAATTACTAAAATAACCTTATAGCCTAAACTAAGTATATATCTTGGATTAATTAAGGAATCCAAATAAACATAGGTATTGGACTACCTTTAAAAGTTATGGAACATAACTTAAGTGAGCCGATCAACCTTAATAATATGTCAGTACCTGAACGACATAGATATTACTTCAATGCATGTTCGTCTATTCAAGTTTAGCTCAATGATAATTTTGAAAGTATTCAGCTCAGCTCAACTCTAGATCGCATTTAATACTAAGAATTGGACATTTGTTCGACAAATCAACCACGAAGACCAAATTGAATGGAACGGAAATACAACATGTATCTGAAATTCAGGAACGTTTGAATTACTCTGGAAAATCCCGAAGTAACTGGAATGGACATGACTGCTAAATGAACTAGGTAACTTCAATGATTGAGGATTTAGTAAGTGATTTGGATAAGTCTGAAAACTCTGATGAGTTTGTATAGTGTATAATTACAATGGGTTATGAACAAATTAATCAAGTACGTCAATATTACATGATATTGTGGAAGCGTGGAAATGAAATTAAGAGCATTGAAATATTTTTTTAGTCTCCTTAAGATCTGTTCAGTGATGACTCAGAAGATGATCTATGGATAATAATATTTGATATTAAAGAGTAAATACCATGGAAGGTTAATGAATTGACAAGTTGATAAGTATTGTTTCTGGGAGCTATTCATTTGGAGTTATTCGATAAATTGATTAATCGACATAGATTGTAAATGTCCTGAACCTTCATTTCTTCCTTACCAGCTCAAGTCATATTCTGAATAATTGATGATTTTGTCAGTTATTGAACTCTTCCAATAGTGATTTTGAATTCCGATATTCTATCAGTATACTGAAGATCTGTGTTTTTCTGTTTGATAAGATTATGCAGTACCTCTGAATAATATCTGTAAACTCTGGTGTGTTCCTTAATTATATAAATATTTTATCTGATTTCGGACTTGAATTCTGTTCTGATACATTACCTGAATTCTGTTCTGATTTCTGATCTGGATTCTATTCTGATATCTGATCTAAATTCTGTTTTGATTTCTGATATCTCCGTTTACCGACGGAGAAATGTTTTATCTGGGGGATTTATTATTGGAAGAAGATTATCTGCAGGCTTCTCCGCTGTGTGCTCAGGGCCTTACTGGTTGTGCGAGATGTATGGTTCCGGGAAACCTACACAAACAGATTGTTAAAGGATAGATGTGTATATATATATGTTTTAAAATAAAAATCTGTATCTTTTTACTGGTTTTATGAGAACACACTAGATAATATATTTTGATCTCCTGAATTTAGTCATCCGAAATATTTCCATCTGAACTGAAAGTTCATTGTCTGTTACTACCTGAAATATCAGTAGGATCTCTGTTCAGCATAAAAATCTGTAAATGTTCGGAAACAATAAGAAAATATATATTGATCTATATCTGCACGTTAATCAGCATCATCTGGTAGTTCAGTATTACTGAGCTTTTCGAAACTCACTTTATTACTCACATTTTCAAGTTAAAAGAATTGTACCAGTGCAGTTATCGACATCAGTAAGGGAGTTCTTCTGGCGTTGTTGCAGAGTATGATACATGTGATTAGGGGACATGTAATTGTATTTTGATTTATATACGAGTCTGGACGTCTGTTTTATTTTTAAATAGTGACAACTGATTTTATAAGTTACACGTTTCAATAAAAGTTTTAAATTTTCCGCTATTTTTACAGTGGGTCGCTCCAGTGGCCTAAATGTGACACCTCGGATCGGATCTGGTTACCCTTATCTGTCTGTGGGGTTACACCTAAAGAGAAAAATATATATATCCAAATCCCATTTGAAACTATAGCATATGGAGGCAGAAAAGGATCAAAGAATGGTTACCCTGAAGACTCATCATAGACATAATCGCTATAGACATCTCCGGCTGCAAAGGAAGTGAACGAAAAATTAGACAAGCAGGTCAAGCAACATTTACTCTTTATTTAATCCAAAATGCTTCGTAATATTCAAAAAAATATATAACTGACAATACAAACTCTAAGAAAAAGTGTTGACAGCTTCTGATGAATCATTGTCATCATCTGCAAACATATCATAACTGTGGGCAGCATTGCTTGAAACTTCTGCAGAAGTTATATTTGAATTAGAAGTACCCACAGCCGAGTCAGAAAGTACCGAGGAAGCTACTCCAGGATAATTTGCATCTGTGAGTACATCACTTCCCAAGTTGGGATGAGAATATGCCAGACCAGCATCAGTAGATAAGCTTTTGCCCCTGGCCGAGCTAACTTCTCATATCCCTCTGCAAGAATAGATATCAAGAGCATAGTTAATAAAAGCTATTCAAATATACACCTGCCCTAAGAAAAGTACAAGTAATACTTATATATGACAAAATTTTCTGCATAAACCATCAATAAATATATATAAATAAAAAAACACATTAAAAGAATATGGAAACATTGCACCAACCAGCAGCCTCACGCTGGAAAACTTCTTTCTTCTCATAGTACACATCTGCATAAAATAAATACAATAATGAGCACAAATTATGGCCAAAGATACATACACCTAAAGCTATGCTCGCCCAGTGGCGGTTGCAAAGCATCCTCAAGGTGGGCACGTGCTTACTCTGGAATCCGAGTTTCTTTATATTAGATGTTCATTTTACTACGGGTGCCCACCCTGAAATTTTACTTGTGCCTACCCCATGCGAAAATTTTCAATAATTAATATGTGTGTACCCACCCTAAAAAATATTTCTGGATCCGCCACTACGCTCGCCTACACCTGCTTTAAAAGTTATCACATGAAGAAGAGGGAAAGTTAAAAAAAAAAGAAACAGATTCACTTTATTGGAGATTTCCGGCTATTGGTGGTCAAGAAAACCATATATCTCAAGCTAAGATTCAATCTTAAACATGTATAAATCTGCTAACTAATCCTCTTCCGGGATAAGTTATCATATCCATCGGCAAGAACCAGTTCAACTTTAACTTTGCCTTAACGGTTTAAAAACATTAGTCTTCACACCTTCTTTCGTTTAGATTGGACAGATAGTGGCATTAAAGCTAAGAATATTTAAGGTAACTTCTCAGTCCAAGTGAACTAGAAGCACAAGGAAGTGCTGACTTAACTGAAATCACCATTCTCCATCAACTTAATGGCATCCTCAGTTAGCTGATCAAATTCACGCTTTGTCTCAGCCGACATTTTCTCTTTTCTGTTATTTGAAGTTCCTTTCAACCTTCTCAGAGATTGTAAAACCTGTCAAGAGAAAATAAAATTAGCTTTAAACTGTTCCCTTGTAACCTATTTAATTACCACATAGATAAACATGTCTAATATCCTGTACATGTGGGATAGAGCTTAGAACTGTAAATGAGAGGTTCTTTTTCCCAAAAAAAAACCTCTCTATCTACCATTCAAAAGCAACCATGACTTTTACCAAAAGAGGAAAAAATACCTAGAAGAGACTATCTACAATACTTGACAGCCTTAGTAAAATTTATGCCCTAATGTGAGCAGGTTTATGAACCCAGACTAGCCACAGAAGTTCTGACCCTGAATAGAATGACTGTTAACATCTAAAATAAGCATTACAAGTCAAGTAAATACATTAGGTTCCAGCATAAAATCATAATCTAATGTAATCACCAGGTACGGCATCTGCCATTCACTTTATATATAGGATACTGATATCATGAAAATCAAAGCTAAATGGAATCCAAGGTTTAGTCCAGTTGGTACATGCAATTCTTAAAATGTGACATTTAGCATGTTGTAGATTCGAACCCCAGCATCTGCAACTCCTTTCCTATCCTAACTGTAGACTTTTCTGTATGGGAAAAAAATGCAAATTCTGGAACGTGTAACACAATTGTTCTTTGGAAGAATCCCATTTTTTTCTCTCAGAAAAAATATTCATCATGATTTACATTACCGTTTCTCCAGGTTCTAGCACATCAGCAATCCGTCTCTTTATTTTCCCAATGTCTTGGGCAGAAAGGCCCTTTGCCGCAACTTCATTATTTTCACCATTTGTTGTTACAGATGCTTTTCTTGTATATTTTACATCAGCTTCAACACCATCAAGCCAGGCATCCTACAATAAACCCGTGAGGTAGTCAATAGAAGTTCTGGTAATTATATTTAGCATAACGCTTTACCTTGATTTCCTTGTTGGCGACATATTCAACAAAGTTTCCTTCCACATCAAAGTATCCTTCTTCTCTTTCTTTGTCAAGATTGAAGGGTTCTATTTGAACTCCATCATCAATGAAGTTCTCGTTATCCTGCAAAATGAATTTCCTCATCATTAGATAATCCTTTCCCCTGAACCAAAAATTTAGGACTCTAGCAGTTATCTTGACTGCAAAAAATGCTCCCAATTCAGGAAAAATCATCCTAAAATTACAAACTCGCTCAATAACAAAGTTCAAATCCAGGTGCATGATAGCTCAGAGTGGCACTAAATATTGTAAGAGCCAACACCTAAGCTACAGCAAATTGAAGATGGAAGGCTGCCTCTCTTTCTTTAGCAGGGAGACTGGTCTTGGTTAAGTCGGTACTATGTTCACTTCCTATTTATTACTTATCTCTTTTTAAGATACCAGCTTCGGTTCTTAAAACACTGAATTCACTGATGTCAAATTTCCTATGGGGAGGGGGTGTTGGAAAAAGTAAGATCTATTGGGTTAGCTGGCCGAATGTATGCATACCAAAGATTGAAGGGGGTTTGGGTGTGTTGAATATGAATTTGATGAATAGAGCACTTCTAGAAAAATGGTCTTGGAGGTATGCTAATGAAAGGGGGTCTGTCTGGAGGGATTTTATTTGTTCTAAATATAATTTGGATCCTTCTTTGTTATTGTTTGACAGTAAGACTACAAATAAAGTATCTTGGATTTGGAGATCAGTGGTTAATAACCACTTTAAAGATGACCCTATTGGCTCAAAGTTGAGAAGTATGTATTCTATTCTAGTTGGAGAGGGTAAATTTATTCGATTCTGGCAGGACATTTGGGCTATGGATTGTTCGCTTCTGCTTATTTTCCCTAGACTTTTTTCCATCTCGATTAACAAAACAGGCAAGTTATTTGAGTTTGGGGAGTATAGCACTTTCGGCTGGATTTGGAATGTGCAGTTTCGTAGGAATTTAAATGACTGGGAGATAGAGCAGTGGGCTAATTTGATGGTTGTCATCTCGGCTTTTGCTCTAAATACGAATAATTCGGATGGAATGATTTGGAAAGGGTCTGAGGATGGGGTGTTCACGGTTAAATCTGCTGTCAATCTATGCTCAGCAGGTTCTTTAGGTTCGGATGAGGCATACTTTTGGAGTAAAATTGTTTGGAGGGGTCAGCTGCCACCAAAAGTTGAGTCCTTCTTGTGGCAGGTTGTTCTAGGGAGGTTAGCTGTTAAGACAGAACTAGTGAAAAGAGGAATAACAGGAATTCAGAACCTGTTATGCCCTCTTTGCATGATGGAAGAAGAGTCTCCTTCTCATTTGTTTTTCTCTTGTTCGGTGGTGTGGTCTGTTTGGAATAAATTTATCAACTTTTGGAAGTTTCAATCTGTTTTCCATTATAATGCTAAAAGTTTTCTCTTGGCTTGGGATGTTTTGAAGTCTGATTCTACGATTTGGTCTCTCATACCAGGGGTAGTTATTTGGACTACTTGGAAATTGAGGAACTCAATTGTTTTTGAAGGAGGGAAGTTGGATGAGGTTGAATTCTTCTTCTTAGCAAGGTTTAGGCTTGCTTCATGGTTTCTAGAGAAGAATAAAGGGGTGTATATTCTTAAAGACTCTCTTATTTCAGACCCCTCCTTAGGGGACGCTTGTTCCATCCATTCTAACTTGATTGTGTCTACTATTCCTTGGCATCCTCCTCCAATGGGTTTTGTGAAAATTAATGTTGATGCAGCTACAACTAAGGATTGGAAGAAGAGTGGTTTAGGAGGAGTTTTAAAAGATTCATCTGGAACTACCTTAGGATCTTTCAAGGAGCCTGCAGGTTCGGGGCCTCCAACTTTTATGGAGTTAAAAGCTATTCAAAAGGGGCTTCTGTTCTATTCTGATTTTCGAGAGAGGATAAAGGACAGGTTGATTATTGAAAGTGACAACAAGATGGCAGTGGATTGGGTTAAGGGGGCTGAATTATGTCCTGATGTTTATGCTTATTTGGTTAGAGATATTGTTCACTGGCTTAATATGTTTGATGGTGTGGTTAGATGGGTAAGCAGGACAGCCAACCTAGAGGCTGATGCCTTAGCTAAAGAAGGAATTGGTTGATTAAATGTTTTGTATATAGGTTGTCTTGTGTTGACCTGTCTGTACTTTCCTTACTTTTAGGGATGTATCTTATGTATTTTATTGTTTTGTTCAATAAAATCCTAAGACACTCTTTTCCTTCTTCCGCTGATTAAGGAGCTTATCTACAAGCACCTTCAATCAAGAAGGAGGTTTTTAATGAGGCATGAAATTCTTATAAAAAAAAAAAGATGAAGATGTTTTTTTTTTTGAATTAGAAATGAAAAGGAAACTACCCTTCCACCAATTATTAGTCAGAGACTAAACTTGGAGAAAGGTGCAGTACATACATAACTGACAGACCACCAAAAACTATATAAGAATACAAATATTGAGAATAATATTCTACCCTTTGAACAGCTAGGATAAATTGACATTAATTCAGAAAACACGGAGCGCACATTTAACATCTTATGGCATGTTCATTCTATCAAGTCTGATATAGAATCCAAAATTGGACAGACTAAAAGCACAATAAACTTACCTCATATGAAACTTCAGCAGCCGAGACATCATTAAGCATTCCTCGTCCATCTTCAGCGAATAGTTCTGTAGTAATTTGACAATGGCGTTTGGCACGTTCCTTAGCGGCAAAACGAGGATCCGTCAAGTCACACGAACCGTCTACAATATCTACTCTATTCACTGCTTCTTCTCCAGGCTTGACCTTCTTTCCCCTGGGAAACCTAGCCCTCTTTTGTCTGTAACTAAACGTGTTAATTTAATTCTAAGATTCAAACAGACAACTAAGCCACTCATAAGCACCCTAAGACATATTGACAGATAAAATTTTCAAGAAGAGAATAGGAGAAACGGAGAACGAGCATAAAAGAGAAAACGAGTATAACTACAAGATTAAACAGCTGCATCAAGATATTGAAAGGGGAAAATAAAAGGTAAAGAGAAGGGAGGATTTGAAGAAAATAATTTACGCAGGGGGCTTGTCGGAGTCTTGGTCTTCGAAGAATTGGAGCTTGAGATGAGAGCGCGGATGGTTTTCTTCCATTAACGTTTTTTTTCTTTTTTCAAATGATGAACTGACTTTGAGAAACAAGAGGGAAGTGTCGTGACGCCCAGAAGTGAGAGTGAACGAGAAAAATAATGGGTAAAATACGTAAATAGTCACTAAAGTTTAAGTAAATTTCACTTTACCCCATTAATGCTTTAAAAGTAATGATTTGATCACTTTCACTATCGATTTATAATAAATCAATCATTCAGACTTTAACAGTTGTTACTGGAGTAACAATAGTAATGTGACACGTTGATACATTAAATCAACCTACATGTCACTATTTAATCACTCGAAATAACTATTTTGACTAACTTTGGCCATGTATTTTAACTAAGACATCCAATTTTATAAAAACCCATAAAATTAAAGTAAGATCTCCCTTAGTGGTGGATGAATGACATTCGAATTTTGTGTGTTAGTTACCCATTTTACTGGTGATATCTACCTTGAAAATTTATTTATGTTCGTCCTATAAAAAAATTTCAGTATTATTAATATATATATATGTCCACCCTGAAAATTCCATCTGCCACTAATTCCATTTTAATTTGTCTGAAACCTCTGTTCTAGGCAATAACTAATACATTCAGGAGAGTTCAATGCTCAGCTTGAAGGATAGAACATTGCCTGATGTTTCGATGGTGACCAGTTATCTGTTCACCTTTGTTGTAAACTTAGTTTTAAAAGGCATGCCTAAGGCATTGGGTGCATGTGGGCATTGTAAGAATCGCATCCGGTGACATAGATGCAGCCCAACACGATGAGCGCATGTTTCTTCTACTTTTGGAGCTTTCCGACACAAGTGTGGCGCTTTTTGTGCCTATGCAGGGGGAGAGAAGAAATGAAAAACAATGAAGAGACAGAGAGGAAAGCCAGTGAAGAACGACTTAGTAAAACCAGTCGCAGAAATAAATGAGAAATAAAAGAATAGTGGAGGAGAGTGAAAAAAGGCTTAGAGAAAGCAAAGTCAATATTTTATTAATATTTTTCAATTCCTTTAACCCTAATGTTAAGTTTTATAAACTATTACAAATAGTAGCCCAAACTTATTGCCCAACTAAAGAATGCCCCTTACAGATAATGTATTTAGCTAATACTCTCTCTGTCCTATTATTTGTGTTTGATAGTGACTATGCACATAGTTTTAGGAGATATATTTGACAAAGAGAAATGACAAAACTATTCTTAAAAGGTAATTGATAGATTTGACAGATTTTTTTAAATTTATAAAATAGTGAGATATAAGGGTAAATGTGATCCCTTTTACCCGACCTAAAGGGAAAAGATCAGATCCAAGAAGTCCACCATCTTGTTTTTCCAATTCGAACCCCAAACGTCACTTAAAATATATTTAAAATTACCCTCGCATATATTGTAATCAAATACTTAAAGTAACCAAAAGTGTGCCAAGAGGGGGTGAATTGACTTTTTGAGTTTAGGGAGTAAGGAGTAAAAAGATATAGATAATTTTTACAATGATTTACAATGGTTCAACTTCTCAACTAAGTATACATCCACTACCTAAGCTCCTCACTTAGGATTTTCCAACAAATTCACTAATTTGTTCTTTCTTTTTCAAGGATCAAGAGTAACCTTTACAACTCCTTAGTTTTCTCTTGGCTAAACTAGAACCAAAACTCCTTTATAAAAAGAAAAGAAAGTAAACAAAGAAATCTCTAAAAGGTAGGTGTTTACAAATTGAAGCTCGTAAAAACACAACTATTTACAAGAAAAATGAAATAAAGAGTCAAAAACGCTTTTCTTGTGTTTGAATGCTTGGATAGGTGTTCTAACCATTCTTCAAGTGTCATCAACTTGTTTTGATAGGTTGAAATATGTTTGTGGTCGTTTCTAGCCGTTGGGAGTGATTTGGAGCCGTTGGAGATGTTTTCTCTGCAAAATAAAATTACCCAGGACCGAGAGTATCGGTACTCCTTTAATAAGTATCGATACTTCCTTTATATTTTTAAATAAAACTAGTCATTAAATACCATTGGGCTTACCAGTATCGATACTATGACCATGGTATCAATACTATTATGTGAAGTAGTATCGGTGCCCCATTGGGTATCGATACCTATTTTGCATTCTGGAATTTGAGCAAACTGGTAGTATCGATATTGCCTAGAGAGTATCGATACTTCTCTTACCTTTAGTATTGGTACTACGTGAACAGTGTTGTTACTGTTCATGCAGTATTGATATTGTAAGAACAATATCGGTACTTCGTACCCAAAAAAGCATTTTTTGTGCTCAAATTCAATTTTAATGGACTTTGAATTATTTTTAATAACTTTGAACAAATTTAATTTAAGTCCAAAAATATTTTGCCTTAATTTGTTATATCAAAATATTATGAAAACATAATTCAACAAACTCCCACTTTTTGATATAACAAAACATTTGAAAATTTGTTTTTGATAAAACTCCCCCTTAATAAAACATTTAATGAAAAAGAGATATAGTTTGGAAGATATTAAAGCTCCCCCTTTTTCATTGAAAAATTGATTTTTTCAAACCATACTTCTCCCCCTTTTTGTTATATAAAAATCATTCAACTTTAAAGTTCAAAAATAACATTGGAGAGTAAGTAGTAAATTTGACATTAAAAGCATTTGAAAAATCAAAGTTTCCCCTCAATAAAAGCATTCCAAAAAAAATTGACTTCAAAAGTTTGACACTTAAACAATTTTTAAATTTCAACAAAGATGAACAAACATGTTTTAGTAGCACATGAAATTCAATATATCCAAGTCTAAATTACTTTATGTAATATCAATTGTTGAATTTAAGTGCATGTGCATAAAGCTATAAAAAATGTTATGAGTTAGAAAAATTGATATCAATTGTTAGAGATATATCATTTACAATAAATCACATGCATAAGCATTTAAATTAAGGTCAAAGCAATTAAAATTTATAAAAAGCATTTGAAAAATTGATATCAATTGTTAGAGAGATATCATTTGTGTTTAAAACCAATTTTGACCAAAAATCATTATGATGAACTAAAAATTATGAAAAATCATTAAAATTTTAAAATGTTCATCATAACACACTTTTCAACATACATGAGATGAAAAACAACGCATAATCAGTTAAGATAAAAAAACTCATGCATGCTTAAAAATCAATAGGCAACCAATTATGTAAGATGATCAAAAAAAGCATAGAGGCTACCTATTCTTTTTCAAGTGTGGCTAGAGCATTTGAGTATCTTCACTTTCATCATCATTCCCACACACCTACAAGAGACACTTATGTGAATTTTGGTATCCAAATTGATTTGGATCCTTGAAAGTTAGTTGCAATGCTCCTTGTTCCCTTAGGAACCCATACTTGTCTAATTTTAAAACATTTTCCTTTCTTTAAAGGACAATTATGTTCCTTGTGACCATGATAATGATAATGTGAGCATTTTGTCATTATGAAATTAGGTGAATTATTTAAAATGTTTTCCTTTTATTTTGTTAAGCATTCAAGCTTAACTTTTAGATCAAAGCATTCTTTTTCAAAATTTTCAATTTTTGCTTTTTAAAGCTCTAAATCCTTTTTCAAAATTTCATTTTGATTTTCAAAATCCATTTTTGCTTTCAAAAGAAAATTATTTTCAACTTTAAATTTTGAAATAATTTTTTATATTTGGAGTTCACGGTCTCAAACTCTAAAAATAATTCATCATATGCATCTTGTAAATCATTAAAAGAATATGAATTAAATTCACTAGAGTTAGAAGATACCTTGGGCTCTTCAAGAGTTATTAAGCACACCACCTTTATTGGTTATTCTTTCTTGTTTCCATGTATCTCTTCGATCTTATTCCAAAGGTCATTGGCATTTGAACAAGAAGAAACTCCTTCATAGACATCGGGACCAAATGCACAAAACAACATGTGCATGGCCTTAGCATTTTGTTGAGCTTTCTTCCGTTCTTGGCACTCCACTCCTTTGTCTTCTTCTTTGGAGAAGAGTAGTCGTTCTCAGTTATCTCTCATACATCAAGATCATTTAATTAGATAAATAGCTTCATTAATTTCTTCCAATGATGGTAGTTGGCTCTATTGAAGTATGGAGGCTTGTCGATCGGTGGGGAGTCTTCCATGTTGAACGAGCCTGAGGTGGAAGTCATATTCTCGGTTGTGTCGAAAATAGATAGAGCTTCTTCAAGTATCGCCTCTAGGTTGTTAGACCTTGTAAGGAGTCAAGCCATGATACCAATTTTTGGGATATTTGAAGCTCGATTAAACAACCGAAAGTGTGCTAAGAGGGGTGAATTGGCTTTTTAAGTTTAGAGAGTAAGGAGTAAAAAGAGATAGATAATTTGCACAATGATTTATATTGGTTCAACTTCTCAACCAAGTCTACATCCACTACTTAATCTCCTAACTTAGGATTTTCCAACAAATTCACTAATTTGTTCTTCTTTTTTTCAAGGATCAAGAGTAATATTTACAACTCCCTAGTTTTTCACTTGGCTAAACTAGAACCAAAACCCCTTTACAAAAAGAAAAGAAATTAAACAAAAAAACCTCTAAAAGGTAGGTGTTTACAAATTGAAGCTCGCAAAAACATAACTATTTACAAGAAAAAGAAAATAAAGAGTGAAAAGTGTTTCTCTTATGTGTGATTGCTTGGATAGGTGTTCTAACCCTTCTTCAAGTGTCATCAACTTGTTTTTATAGGTTGGAATGTGTTTGTGGTTGTTTTTAGCTATTGAAAGTGGTTTGGAGCCGTTGGGGATGTTTTCTCTACAAAATAAAACTGCCCATGATAGGGAGTACTGGTACTCATTTAATGAGTACCATTACTTCATTTATATTTTTAAATAAAACTAATCGTTAAAGTCCATTGCGCTTGCCAGTATCGATACTATACCATGGTATCGATAATACTATGTAAAGTAGTATCGATACCCCGTTAAGTATTGATACCTATTTTGCATTATGGAATTTGAGCAAGCTGGTAGTATTGATACTACCTAGAGAGTATCGCTACTTCTCTTACCTTTAGTATT